AGGTTGAGGGGGAATCTCCCTATGGGGACACATGTCAATTGGGTGATCTCCCGCAGTGGCATCCCTAGGCAAGTGCGGGGGTTGTGGTCCGTACGGGTTGACACCCCATATAGGTTGCATGCTGACTATCCTGCGGGGTGACACCGGTGTATCGGCAAGATGTGTCTCCCATGTAGATATGTCCCCCTGAAGCAACTGCGCATGTCCCGGTTTCTGGCACGACCAATCGACGATAGAACTACTGCTATCATCGATTGATCGTGCCTGAAACCTGGACAGGGGCAGTTGTCCCGGACCCGCTCCAAGAAAAGGTAAGTTGTAAAGAAAGCGGACGATCCCCGCAGGATTGAGCATAATGGATCGGAGTCTTATGCTCAATCCGCAGATCTGGTCCATTCAGCAGGGATCCTTGGAGGGGGTGTCACCAAGTGTTACCGCACCGGGTGACACCAACCCTAGGGTAGCCTCTGCACATGTACTGAAAAAAAATGCTGAGATTAGGAGAAAATAGAATGAGGGAGATGAGATGATCAGTGTGAATCTTGTCTTTCACTGTCCAGTCACATATCGGGGGTGGAGAGGACACTTGTAAATGTAACTAGAGAGGAGGAAAAAAATTAGGTCATCAGGTTTACAAAGTCAGGGGAGATCAGTTTCTCCTTCACCTATTCTAAGCTCTGTTGTAGAAAGCATTGCAAGAGGATTATTTCAAGTCAAATGTATGTATTTTTCACTGCTTGCATGAAAAAATACATTTATTAATGCATTATTGAACGTAGAGCTGCATTACTTTGTGCCTTTTATACCTGCCTTGATTTCAATTCTAATAGGGCCAGCTAGCCAATATAAAGAACAAGAGTTTGACAATAGAAAAGTATCAAACACAATTTTTACTTCTGATTGGAGTGGAACCTTTAACATAGCTGTGAACATACAATGTTATAGCCAGGCAACTTGCATTTTCCACAGACTTGCATTCCAGAGACAGTAAACAGTCCTTGAACGTGTTTTTTTACATTAGGGGTAAATATGGGGTTGAGGGATGCATGGGATGCCCAAGGAACTGTAAACTGAGGGAAGCTTTCTGGTAACTATATACAAGTCCAAAGACAGAACTCTCTTCTCAGAGAGCTCTCCAGTTGCTTCTGGTGTACCAACCCATACTCCAGATAATTCCTCTTTTTTTATTCAGCTGTCTGGAGGAATCCCTGGGAATGGGGATCCAGTGCCTGCCACTTTAATATGAACAGTCCCGGGTAAGGAGCGAATCAGGTTTCCCACCAAAGTGCTCTATTCCCCTTAACTGGCTCAGGGGGGTGCAGGAATACTCACTCAGTCTCTTTCCTGTGAGCTGGTTTAGGTAGGTAGCTGCCTTCAGGCCTTCTGCTGGGCTGGATCCTTTCCTGGCTCTAGAGGTAGTCCTTCCTCCGGGGACTGGTGATGCTGAATGGTCTTCCTGTTCAAGACCCAGCCTGTAGGTAGGCCCCTTCCCAGGCTCCTGCATTTCTTCCTCTCTCATATCTTGCACCCAAACACTTCTGCTACTGAGCAGGCTCAGTCACAGTTAAAGGCTGCCCTGGCCCCATGCCAGGCCTCCTGTTTGAGGATTGGCCAGAGTCCTCTAAGTGTGCAGGCCAGCCCCTCCTCACCCCGCCCACTGCTTTTAGAATGTCCTCCAAGATTCCAGAGCAGGGGGAGGTATCAGGGAACTGACCTGCAGAGCCTCTCAGACCTGACCCAAATTTGACCCTGCTGACTAGTTCTCCAGGCTGCTGCTCTAAACATTAGCCACTAGCTCCCTCTGGCTATATAGAGCGGTGTTATACAGGAAACTGTTCAGCCTGATGCAAGATGCAGGCTGTGCTTGAGCAGGAGGCATATTCAAGAGGCAGATTGTGAGTGATAGGGAGTATGTGCCAGAGCTTGGCTGTGATTGGCTGGAGGGGCATGTTGGCTAAACAAACTACTCAATACAGGCATGCTGTGTGTCTGTACAGTGTCCTGTACTTCTGAATGGCCAGCAAAAGGATGAAAACTGACCATGAAAGAACACATCAGATCATGTACTTTGTGTGGTCAGTTCAAAACAAGGAAGAAAGGTGACTGGCAGGATCAACCAGGTACTTCAAATAGAAGACATGAAATGATTAATAAAATAGACACGTGTGAACACACACATAGAGAAATAAAAAATATTTAATTTAACATACACTTTAAAGGCCATACCACACAGAACTTTGGTGATTTTAGGACAGAGCTACACACAGCAATTTTGATTACCCAACAGCAAGATTATAAACCTGCTTTCAATTTTGTGATTGATCGTTGCCTCTTGTAAAATGGGCCCCTATCAGACCTGCTACAAGATACAATAGAAAATAGTGCTTGACTACAGCACTGTGAGCTCATGTGTGATTAATAGCATTTGCTGCTGTTTAGGGGGCCATTGTCACACTGGTGGAGATCAATCTCTGGCAATTCTACGATCAATCAATGACAATTAGCCATCAAAATTCACACTGTAACTCATGCTACTGAGTGTTTAAGGTTGGTCATTAGGGCTGATTTTCCCTCGATCCAATGCGTCTCTTGGAAAATAGGTGCTCATAGGAGGCAATTAAGAGCCACTCATTACCACTTATAGAGATTTCCACTGCATGCAACCTGCCTGCCCCAAATGGGAAAGAAGGCATTTAGATTGCATGCAGAGCTTTAGTCCATCAAGCAAATCACATAATTATCCAGTCTTAGCCCCTTGTTGGCAATCACTACATTGAAGTTAATGTGCCATCAATTAGATAACTGGCAACAAGTGGTTAAATTACTCAAATACCCCAACATTAAAATTGTCCTTTTTGTTAACTCAGGGTTTGCCAGGTTCCTTGAATGATGGGCACCTACAGCTATTCCCTTATTTATTCTTCATTTTCATGGCTACCGCTATTGAGCATATCCCTTTCATGGCAGAGACCACACCGTGGTATGGAGCTCAATGTGCATTTTCCATTACAGTTGGCTCTGATGTTCTTTAAATACTCTTTTGTGCCATCGTAACATCACAATGCTGGTTAAACATAACATTAGCACAATATGACGAGAAATATTAGCACAGCGCGTTTTGAGCAGAGATAAACATCATTAAAAATAGATTGAAATAATAATCGGCAGATTAAAGCATATCATATTACTAAATGTTGTCGCCTCAGGGATGGCAGATAATATGATTATTCTACCAAAAAAAATGAGTTAATAAATTCTTATTGGTGCCAATTTAGTTTTATTTTCCTTCGTTTTGCCTTATTGCCAAAGAATCCTAAGTTTAAAAATGGAGCATCTATAGTATTTTTCTAATAAAACATTCAAAAGGTCTCCATTATAGAAGAAAACCGCTTTTTAAATGAAAGACTACACTCGCGTGCTCAGAGGAGTACAATGGTATAATACCTCTAGCAGATTATCAATAGATCCATTATTTTAATCAATAACCTGATATTCTTTGTAGAAATGATCTTGCATAATTAGGCTGTAATCAGTAACTGCCGAGTCATTTCACACAAAAGACCCCTGTCTCCATATCAGCGCCATTTAAAAGACTTAGCCCACACAAACTCAGATTTCAGAATCAGGTGAAAGCCTTTTGTGCTTTCATTCATCGACCTCTGCGGCAATATAAAGAAATACACTTTATATGTGCACTACACAAGCATGTAAAACCATTCTGTAACTCACCTATGTATTAATTTGAAAGCCAGAAACTCTTTTTATAGTTAAACACTGCAATTACCCAAGATCTGTCTTTATGTGGAATAGACACACTAGCTGAAAGCTGAAATCAGGCTTGCCTGCTCTGTAAGAGTGAAAGATACAAAAGTAGGCATAAAACAGGGATGGCACCCAGAGTGGGCCTTTCCAGCATGCTGGATCAGCAGAAGTTAGGAGAAAAAGTTGTTGCTAGTTGTGTCAGCAAGGTACGTATTTTCATTCTTTTAGGGCTTTTTCTCACATGATGTGTTTGAAAAGATGCTGATATAATGTGTGTTGCAATGTATTTTCAGATGCTTTGCAATGTGAATTTGAAAGCTTTTTTATTCAATTGACTTGAGTGGCTAAAGTCCCGTACACACTGGCCAAATATCAGCCGAAATCAGCCAGACATTTGGCCCATGTGTTCAGGTTCTTGTCTCACAGAAGTTGATCTCCTGACCAGGGGCGGACTGACAACTCATGGGGCCCCCGGGCAATAGGGGATCATGGGGCCCCTGTGTCCTTGCCCCAAACTCAGAAAAGCCTATGAAAAAGGTACCAGGGGCATCTCGTGGGGCCCCCTACTGACCCCGGGCCCTTGGGCAGTGCCCAAGTTTCCAAATGGTCAGTCCGCCCCTGCTCCTGACCAGCTTCTGGAAAACAAGTATGCTGGAAAACCAGCAGCCGATTATTCTCCGATCAGCGCTGTCAGCCAATGGCTGCTAGTGCTGACCGGTGTGTTCTGGTGGGGGGTATTCCCCATTTAGAACACAATAGTACACTGGGGAGATCGCTGTACTCACCTAATAGTTAGTACAGAAACCTTCTCACGAGCTGCTCAGTTTTTTTTTTTTTGTTCAGCTTGCTTGGCTGAACAAAATAACTTACTGTGTGTATCAGGCTTTAAAGCACAGCACCAAAAATGCAGCATGTGGAATTTTTTTTCAGCTTAACACAACACAACACAACTTCTTGGTGTGAAAGGGACTTAATGGAAACAATATAGTCTATAAGTTAACTTTTTTCATGCAAAAAATAAAAAATAATATTATATATACACACACACACACACACACACACACACACTATATTGCCAAACGTATTTGGACATCTCTCCAAATCATTCAGGAGTTCCAATCATCACCTCCATAGACACAGGTGTATAAAATCAAGCACCTAGCCATGCAGACTGCTTCTACAAACATTTATAAAAGAATGGGTCGCTCTTGGGAGCACAGTGAATTCATGCGTGGTACTGTGACATTTTCTTGTTACTAACTATTTCACGATCAACTGTTAGTGGTATTATACCAAAGTGGAAGCAACTGGGTACAACAGCAACTCAGCCACCAAGTGGTAGGCCACATAAAATGACAGAGCGGGGTCAGTGCATGCTGAAGCACACAGTGCGCAGAACTCGCCAACTGTCTGCAGAGTCAATAGCTAAAAACCTCCAAACTTCGTGTGGCCTTCAGGTTAGCACAACAACAGTGCATAGAGAGCTTCATGGAATGAGTTTCCATGGGCCGAGCAGCTGCATCCAAGTCTTGAATCACCATGTGCAATGCAAAGCGTCGGATGCAGTGGTGTAAAGCACGCCACCACTGGACTCTAGAGCAGTGGTGACGTGATCTCTGGAGTGATAAAGTATGTTTCTCTGCCTGGCAATCCGATGGACGAGTCTGGGTTTTGGCAGTTGCCGGGAGAATGGTACTTGCCTGACTGCATTGTGCCAAGTGTAAAGTTTGGTGGCGGGGGGATTATGGTGTGGAGTTGTTTTTCAGAGTTTGGGCTTGGCCCCTTAGTTCCAGTGAAGGGAACTCTTTAAGGCGTCAGCATACCAAGACATTTTGGACAATTTCATGCTCCCAACTTTGTGGGAACAGTTTGGGGATGGCCCCTTCCTGTTCCAACATGACTGCACACCGGGTGCACAAAGCAAGGTCCATAAAGACATGGATGAGCGAGTTTGGGGGGGTGGAGAAACATTTGTTTACTGCATTACATGGATGTAAGGTTAATAATAAAACTTAGATTGCAAAATCTTCAGTTTTACCTCCATGATTTGTAAGGACGGCACCAAGTCTTCTAGGCATGGAATAAACACTTTGATGACATATTGCAACATCTATCTTTTTCCATTCTTCAACAATGACCTCTTTTAGAGCCTGGATGCTGCATGGATCAACTTGCTTCTTCAGAATTCCCCATAGTTCGATTGGGTTCAGATCAGAAGACATACTTGGCAACGTTCACCCTGTTCTTCTTCAGAAATGCAACAGTGGCCTTAGTTGTGTGTTTTGGATCATTGTCATGTTGGACAAGTGCATGAAAACCAAGGGCACAGAGTGATGGTAGTATCTTCTCTTTCAATATAGAGCAGTACATCTGTGAATTCATGATACCATCAATGAAATGCAGCTCCCCGACACCAGCAGCACTCATGCAGCCCCACAGAAGGACACTGCCACCACCATGTCTCCCTGTAGGCACCATGCATTTTTCTTTGTACTCCGCACCTTTGCGAAGCCATACAGTTTTGAAGCCATCAGTTCCAAAAACATTTATCTTGGTCTCATCACTCCAGAGTACAGAGTCCTAGTAGTCTTCTTCTTTTTCAGCATTTGGCTCTGACAAATTCTAGGTGGGCTTTTTTGTGCATGGGCTTTTAGGAGAGTCTTCCTTTGTGGACGACACCAATGCATGCCATTCCTCTGCAGTGTGGCTTTCTACTTCTTTAGTTAACTGCAGTGAACTTGCATGGCGATTTTCTTCAACCCTTCTCATCAGAAGACGTGCCTGTCGAGGTGTTAACCTTTGTGGATGGCCTGGACGTCTCTGTGAGATGGTTGCAGTTCCTTCTTTGTTATATTTTTGTATCACTTTTACAGCTGTTTTCTGACTGATAAGTAAAGTTTTGCTGATCTTCTTGTAGCCTTCACCTTTCTTGTGTAAAGAAATTATCTTACTCAGGCTTTTTGACATTTCTCTTCCATGTGGTGCCATTGCTGAGCGCATGAAACGGAAAGGGGTTTTCTTTGCCCTTTTATAGTCAACTTGTCTGCTGGACACCTGTTTAATGAATAATTAGACTTACCTGTAGTTGAATTCTTGTTAATTAGGATTTTGTTGTCTAAAATTCAGCTCCGCTCCTAAGAATTTCATTGGGTGTATTCATTTTTGTAACATGGCCTTGAATGGATTTGTTAGGAATAATACTTTTTTTGTGTGTGAAAATTAACAAATCTTGTTTTCAATCAATGGCCCGCACTTGTGGGAGTATTTTGTAGTATAGTGTCCCATAGAAAATGTTGATTCGGAAAGGAAAGGTTTTCTGACAAATCTGTTGGGGTGTACTCATTTTATGCTGAGCACTGTATTGTGTTCTATCTTTTTTTTTTTCTTGTCTGTGGCATCAGGGCTTAGAAAGAGCTGACTAGAAAAAGGTCTTTTCTTTCCCCTCTTGTTCCTGGGATCATAGGTCCACCTATGGTCTGTTGGCCCTGCAGTGTTATGGTCATTTATTGCATGTCTTTGTGACCGTTTAATGCTAAACCCTACAATTTGGGGAGTACCTCCAGTTTACCATTTTTGTCACCTGCTGACTTTAATATCTGTAGTAAAATATTATTCTGCAAAGCTATTCCTTTTAGTATCATTAGCACTTGTGTTCACAGCTATCTCATTTAACCAGATATATCAGCGTTACTGAGGTTGTTCTTGGAATCGGGGCTCAGAACAGTGAACCTAAAATTATCAAGCAGCTTTGGGGGTAGCGCTACATATATATTGTGGAGAGTCATCCTGGGGCAGGTTCAAGAGGGTATTAATTGTAGAGGGCAGGTACTTCCTTCCTTGGGAAGAAGATAGCGGACTACTGTATGCAGTCAATCAGATGGGAGCCTCCAAGCTATTATTGCATTATCAGCAGAGATTTTTCTGACTCCTCTCTAACGTTTCTGTACTCCTTTCCTTCCCCTTCACACTTACTGTTGATTTATCGATAAATGTCCAGTAGTGGAAATAAACAAAAAAAAGTATAAACATTAGATATTGGGGCTGTTCCCCCCTTGCCTTGGAAAAATGTCTCACAATACACATTTTGTTCACCCATTTTTGGTTATTACAAGGTATTACACATTTTAGTTCAGTGAACTCCAATGTAATTGGTTTCAGATAAAACATTAATAATGTTGTAATATGTCTGTAACCACCTCTCCGTTCATATAACTGTCCTCTACGTTGTGTATTTTCTAACCGCATCAGGATGCACCATAATACGTTCCTAACCTTGCCTCCTTGCTTCTTGGTACATGAGCCCAGCAGATGATGGAATAATGCAACTGTGGATTGAAACAATGCAGGCAAGATGTATAACTTTGTGATAAAAAAAACTATTGAAATTCAAAAACCGCTCAACAAACTTTTGGGTTTAGACGCAAACATTAGGCAATTTCAACACAATGGTGTCCCTGGGTAGTCATGACCCCAGCTAGTCACCACACACAATTCTGTTAGGTGGTGAATTTCCATATCCTCTCCCACAAACTACTGTAATTAATAGCAATTACTCATTTGTGAAACTTGAATAGAACTCATCAAGGTAAAAGTATTGGATCTGCCAATGTTTGAAGGTTCAAGTTCTTGGGCTGTCACCTGACTTGGACATGAGCTTGATGTGAATTGCCTGCCTACTTGTAGAGAAACATTGATTCTTTAAACTGTGAATCAAGGATAATGACAAAGGCAGAACTTGTACCTATTCTAGTCAGCAATTGTGACTACTATTTTTTTTTTTAGATAACCTCTATTGAATAACATGTCAACAACAACACTGCACATCACCAAAAGAGCACCATACCCACAGTGAAGAAGGTTGGTGGCAGCATTATTCTTTGGGGCTGTTTTTCTTCAGCTGGAACTGGAGCCTTAGTCAAGGTAGAGGGAATAACTAACAGTTTAAAATACCAGTCAATATTGGCACAAAACCTTCAGGCTTCTGCTAGAAAGCTGAACATGAAGAGGAACTTCATCTTTCAGCATGACAATGACCCAAAGCATACATCCAAATCAACAAAGGAATGGCTTCACCAGAAGAAGATTAAAGTTTTGGATTGGCCCAGCCAGAGCTCAGACTTGAATCTGATCGAATATCTGTGGGGTGATCTGAAGAGGGGTTGTTCACAGGAGATACCCTCGCAATCTGACAGATTTGGAGTGTTTTTCCAAGGAAGAGTGTATTGCCAAGTTAAGATATGCCATGCTGATAGACTCATACCCAAAAAGACTGAGTGCTGGAATCAAATCAAAACAAAGATGCTTCAACAAAGTATTAGTTTAAGGGTGTGCACACTTATGCAACCGTATTATTTTGTTTTTTATTTTAACTTCCCTCCATCTAAAATATTTCAGTTTGTTGTTCAACTGAGTTGTACAGTTTATAGGTTACATTAAAGGGGGAAAAAGTTCTGAAATTATTTCTTTGTCTTATTTTTTTACATCACAAAAAACAACATTTTAACAGGGGTGTGTAGACTTTTGTGTCCACTGTAGAAACATGGGGCAAATTACTACATGTACTTTGTCCAATAGGGGATAGAACTGTAATAAGATAAAATATTGATCTTCTTATATCCTACCTGTAAACCCTAACCTACCCTACCTGATATAAATTTAGGGTATATCTACATCCAAAACTTTCCTTAGTTTTAGATAGAGTATGGTTGGGTTAGAGTATTATCCTGCTTTAGGACTGCATCAAGACAGCACATTTATTTTAATAGGTTGGCAGCGCACCATGACACACTAAGAACACACTTGACCACTGCTTTTTTAATGCATCACAACACACAGTTCACATATGTCATTGTGATACACTAAAACATCTATTGCGGTACACTGGCCAGGTACATTGGGTTTCCATTCAAAATGGATGTGGGCTACTACAACACATCGGTTGGAATAGGCTGTATATGAATGACATTTAGTCTGCCAAAGCACTGTGAAACAAACATTTGCCATTTTTAAAAAAAAAAAAAATTATATATTTTCCTTGTTGCATCTTGGTGCTGCTGATATCCTGCAGCCTTTTGCAGCCACTTCCTCACCACATGCTCTCTAGGGCTGCATGGTCTTTCCAAGAGTGGGTTTTCTGATGTGACAACACCTATGAAATGGATCAGCACAGCTGCTTTGAGACTTCATTGAGAGAAGGGGTGACAGGGTAAGCAAACCAGAACACTTGGGAGCTAGGGACAAAGAGTTGTCTTCCTATTAAAGGAAGTGCCTGAATAAGAACTTCATGGCAGGACCACCAAGTATTATTTTATTGCAACCGAAAGATTTAAATGAACATTTAATGCTTATCTAATATTTTAGTGCCTGGGTTTATATCTACTTTAATGGAATTCAAAGTCTAAAAAAATCTTACTAGCTAAACAGTTGTAGTTTCAAATATTAAAGATAGGAGGCTACAGTATGGACTTGTATATGACTTACACATAACGACCTTCTTTGGGCAGACCTTTCCATCATAGGACTATGGTAGCCATGGGTCTGCCTGCCAGTGTTGATCTCCTGTCAACCAGAATTAAATGGCTGTTCCTAAAACTATGA